GCGCCCGAGCCGCACCGAGTCGCCTCCAGGGAGATGGCAGTCCCCGCACCCCCGCACCCCCCTCCCCAGCCCACACGTGGTGATGGCGCAGGCGGAACTCAAAGAAGAGGGCTGTGACCTGCCGGTACCCAGGGATCCCTCCACAGTAAGCTCTGGTCCCTCCCGGCGAGGGTCGCCGCGCTTTCGAGAGGAACCAGCTGCGGAATACTGGGCAAGTGTCTTTATCGCCCCCCTGGGCCTCGATTGCTGAACCTACAAAATGGGCTAATAATTCCCGGCATCTTTCCCCTTTAGCTTGAGCAGTGAGCTGACTCCTCTGGTCTTTTGAGCAAGAACCAACACCGCACCAGGTACTGCGGAGGAAGTCCCTGACCTGTTGTCGTCCCCAGTATAACAGCGAGCGAACCGAGGTGGGAATCCTCCAGGGCGGTAGGCAGAGGGGTGTGGCGCCCCCTGGCTGTGACCCTCCGTTACCTAAGGCTGCTGTGCAGATTCATATTGCAGATTCCATTCTCATTTGAGAAACAACTTCTTCAGAACATAGTAGGCATCAGACACTGCTGTGACTACTCAGGACACTGCAGTGACCAAAACAAAGATCCCCGCCTCCGTGGAACTTACCTTACAGTGGAATAAACAATAAACATACAGAGTGATCATAAGGTGATCATTGCTATAGAAAAAAGGAAAAGGCACAGCAGTATAAAGAGGATCTGGAGCATCTTTTTCAGAAAAAGAAAAATAAGCCGGGCGTGGTGGCACACGCGTGTAATCCCACCGCTCGGGAGGCTAAGGCAGGAGGATTGCCAGTTCAAAGCTAGCCTCCGCAAAAGAGAGCTGCGTCTCTAAATAAAATACAAAATAGGGCTGCAGATATGGTTCAGTGGCCGAGTGCCCCTGAGTTCAATCCCCGGTACCAAAAAAAAAAAAAAAAAAAGTAATATTTCCCATGTATAAGGCCCTGTGTGTTCCTTATATTATTCCTATTCTTAATATTCCTACCCCAAAAATAAAGGCGAGAAGAATGTATTTAAGTGGGGCTCAGAGAAGTCAAGGGCTCCTCCCAAGGTCCCGAGCAGCAACCAATCAAGTAGAAACTGAAACTCAGATCTGCTGTAGGTTTAGGACAGAGGGAGCCCGGTGAAGGTACCTTCTAACAACAGCTTCAGTCCCCGCAGCGCCTCCACCCACCCCTAAGCCCCAGGCCTGCCCACAGGTGAATCTAGGCAGCTGTGGAGGAGGCCTGTCCTCCAGCCTCTACACCGCACTACAGGTCTCCGGGGAAGAGAATGTACTAACACAAGAGCTGGACCCAGGCTCAGGAAGCTGCCTTGAGATCCTAGATCCACTGCTTAGCAACTCTGAGGTCCTAGGGCCACTCTGTCTCCTTGGGTCACTGCATAACAATTCAGTATCTGCCACCCAGGGTCACTGAGGAGATTCAATGGCACTGGTGTAATCTGTCAACGTGATGGTGCCGTTGGCCTCGGGGTCCCCAGCTGTGTAGTAGGAAAGCGTCCATCCCTGTGGTACCTCCTCTAGCCAAAGGAGTCCTGATGTCAGGGATGGCTACCTCATCGGACACTCCGTAGAATAGATTTCAGAGCCTGTGAAATGGGTTCCTAGTCATGGTTCTGCTACTTACTCTGTGAGGTTGGCGAAGCCTCTTAAATTCTCTGCTTTTCTGATATTAGGATACCAAAGATGCAAATAGGGTGAATATTTAAACCTCTGGAACAGAAGAGGTGCTGAACAATTTTTAGCTTTGTAAAAATCAGTATATAGTGGGAAAGAATGTATCCTTTGTTTTAGATTTTCCTATAATGTGCTATATCTTTTATTTTTGTAAAAAAAAAAAAAACACAATGATCATTTTATTTATTATTGCTTGATGGATACTGAGGGTTGAACTCAGGGGTGCTGTACCACTGAGTTCCATCCCCAACCCTTTTATTTATTTATTTATTTAAGACACAGTCGTCTCACTAAATTGCTTAGGGCCTTGCTATGTTACTGAAGCTAGCCTCCAGCTTGTGATCCTCCTACCTCAGCCTCTGGAGTAGCTAGAACTACAGGCAAGCACCACCACACCCAACATGATGATCATTTTAATATGAGTTCATTCTGGGCGATAGATACCTGGGTATTAGTTATCTATGGTTTATACTTTGCTATAATTTTAGAAAATCATTTTTGTAAGGATTGGGCCGAGGTGGTGATGCCACCTTGTGGCTACATTGTTATTATGTTGAACTTGAGACCTTTGCAGAAGCTCCAGCTCTGGTCATTCATTTCAGTTACAGAACAATCCAGTCTCAGACTTCCTTAACACTGCAGAGAGGGACTTTTAAGAATGATCAGTGATGCCGGGTGCAGTGGCACACACCTGTGGTCCCAGCGGCTCAGGAGGCTGAGGCAAGAGGATCATGAGTTCAAAGCCAGCTTTGGCAACTCAGCGAGGCCCTAAGCAACTCAGCGAGCCCCTGTCTCTGAATAAAAATAAGAAAAAGGGCTGGGGATATAGCTCAGTGGTTAAGTACCCCTGGTTCAATCCCTGGCACCAAAACAACAACAAAAAAGATCAGACTTTGCTTGATTCCTTCTAGTCCTGGCGAGTTTCCTCTCCGGGGACAGCTGGGGCCTCAATGGGACAGCTGAGCCTTAGGAAGCCTCTGCCCAGAGCTTCACACCTGGCAGGACATCAAGGACAAGTGAAGGTCGTCATTGCAGAGATGGAGAAACTGGGGTCCAGGGAGGTTGCCAAGTCCTGCTAGAAGCTGCTCTCAGAAAGTATGGACCAAGTGCACAAACTCCCTGCAGGCAGGTTCTGTCTGTTGTGGCACATAGTAGGTTCTCAATAAATATCTGCCCAATGAATAGATGGACACAATCGTCAGCCCAACCACCTGCAATTATTCGCTCTCAATAACAATAACCTGGCATCTGTTGAGTTCTTACCAATTGCCAGGGGATTTTGCAAGCTCTCACGTGCCCTGCAGGGGGGAATGCTCACCTTGACCCTGGAGTGAAGTTAGTGTGGTGGGTAGGCCCCATTTACACTCTTAACTGCGTTTCAGAGATCTTCTGTGAGTTGCTCAAGGTTCCAGTTAGGAAGTAGAGAGGATCTGAGCCCAGGCATCCCGAACTCCCCTTCCCCGGGGGCCTGGGGCAAGGACAGTAGCTCCACACAGGCAAACAAGGGAGGGAAGCCAGAACCAATTATCCCAATGCCCAGCCGCCCAGAGAGGGCCAGTACTGACGGTGCTGATGCCACCCTTAACCCCTAGTGAAGACTTCAAATCCCTCCGCCCTTGTGGGGAGGGGCAGGGGGCTGCGATTTTATTCCTGGGCTCATTGAGTTGTTGCATTTGAACTAGGTGGAGAGAAATATCAGAAGTCACCATCCCACATGTGTCTGTCTGTCCCCATCTGTCTGTCTGTCTATCTGTCTCCCCTCCCCCTCTCTAGTTCCCACATAGAATCAGCAACAACCTTCCCGGGGAGCCCGGCCTCCCCACCCAACTCTCTGGCCTCCAGCATCTCCGCCTGGACTGGCCCTCACGCCTCTTCCCACCATTAGGTCTGGCTGAAGCCCAGCTCTGCGTGGAGCCTGGCTGCCCACGGGCGGCCTGCCCTCTGGCCAGGCTTCCAGGCCCGCCACCAGCCACCCACCCACCTTCCCGCCTTTTCTCCACCAGCTTCTAATTAAAGTATCTATCCGCTGAGACCCTTCCTTGTTCCAAACACAGGATGGAGGATCAAGACTACTTCTGTCACCGGGAGTGCTCAGACCCAAGCCCACTGGGGCTCAGAGATCTGTACCAAGGACCTCGAGGGGCACATTTACTGCCAGTATTTTGACCTCCGTGCCCGAGTGTGCAGATGAGTGTGCAGACGAGTGTGCAGACGTGAGGTCACGGCGGCCTGTGAGCCTGCGCGAGTCCTCCTGTTTCCAGAGCCTCCTTTCCCATTCTAGAAAACAGCTGTGGCAGTCCACGCGTGGGCTCTGGGTGCCGGCGTCCCCCAGCCTGCAAGCTGCTGGCCAGCCTGCCCCGAGCTGTTGCCATGTCTTAACTGCCTGATCCTGGGAGACTGCTTAGTCCTGAACACCTCGGGGGACTCACCCACAGAATGAGGGCAGTATCTGTGGGCGCCAAGGGGCTTGACTGATGCTCTGCGGCCCTGCAAGGGCTGATGCTGGGTCACGAGGAAGGGACGGCAGGAGGCGAGACCAAGGCCCTGGTAAAACTCCAGTCTGGAGGCCCACCCAAGGCACAGGCCAGGCCAGAGTGGACTCCCGAGGGAAGAGGTGGGCCCTGGGAGCAGCGGAGCTGGGCTGGGCTGTTGCCCAGGAGGCACATGGCAGGTGGGTGAACGGGTCCCAGGATGCAGGGAGGAGCCGCGGGCGGTGCCTGCAGACCTGCCCACCCTACACCAGGCCGCTGGGCGAGGGCTCCCCTCTCCTGGGCCCCTGGAGGAAGCACAGGGCAGAGAGCGCAGGCTGGAAGGCGTTTATTCATAAGTCGGGTCCGTAGGGAGACCACTACTGGTTACAAGCTCTAGAAGCTCTAGTCAGGACAGGGACAGCCATGGAGCAGGCCCCAGGCAGGGGTCGAGGACACAAGAGCAGCACAGGCAGTTCCGGGGCCTGGGAGGGTCTTCTCCACGCCCCCCCACTGCGCCCCTGGGTCCCATACCCCTCTAGGGTTAAAGTGCAGCTGGGAGGAGGAGGGGCGGGACTGGAGCTGGAGGGTGAGGCCGGCATGGCTGCCCTCAGGCCTCCTAGTCCTGCTTCCTAGAGGCGCCACAGTGTCCACTCAGGGCCTCCTCCAAGCCTCTGGGGGAGGGACATCCAAACAGATATTTAGAAGGACCCTCCCCAGGACGGCAGGGCTGGTTCCCATCAGCTTTGTCAAGGGCCTAGGACTTGGGGCAGAGGAGGGAGGAGGGTCTTCAGGGGTGGCCTGGGGCTTGCCCTCCCCCTGGCCCGGGAAGATTCTTCCTTGCCCCCCCTTCTCCCCACACCCAGGCACCCCAGGAAGCCCATGCAAGGCCCAGAGAGCCTGGTGCTGGCTCTGGGGCCCCGAGTCAGGAGGGGCCTGCCCTGGCCTGACTCCCAGACCCCTCCACTGAGGGAGCCACTTCCCGCCCTGGGAGAGCTGCTTTCCTGGGGATGGGGGTGCAGTGGGGGCCTCTGGGGAAACCTTCGGGGCTGCAGCTTCCGGCCTCTGCCAGCCATCTCCCTGGCCCGGCCGCCCCTCCCCCACGCTCAGCCCAGGGCTCCAGCTGCAACATGTGCCCACCCCCGGGGATCCTGCCCCACCAGGGGCTTTGAGGACCTCGGCCTGGGCCTGCGATCTCGGAGGGCCTCACCCCCTCCTCAGCAGCTTAGCCAAATTCCTCCCCCTCCCAAGGGCACATCACTAGAAGGCGGAAAGGAAGACCCCCCCCAACACTTTCCAAAAAGAGCCCTGCAGACCTCTGCTTCTGCCCCTGACACTTGAATATATTAAATTGTGCAGCATGGCTCCAGCCCCGCCCCTTCAGGTCTCCATGGCAACGGGCAGCATTCCAAGTCCAAGTCTGAATCCAAGTCCGTCCAGTGCCAAAGCTGGGGGCTTCCGCCTCTGCCTCCCTCTTCCCCGGAGGCTGAGAC